TCACTTCCAAAATACGTTTTAAGACTTGTGTTTTTATATTGTTATGTTATAGGTTAGCTACTTTAAATTTGTCGCTGACGATGACGTCGTAGGCAGCGTGAATTTAATTGTCAAAGAAGCCTTCTCAGATGAAGTTTCTTCCAAAATAACGCGCACTGGACGTGCTGGTGTTGGAGTGTCCAAAACAAAAATCGTACAAGCCATTCACCGTATGTTTTATATTTTAATATTATTTCCTAGACAATTTTGTTACTTAAAGTATTTTTTAGAGAGTTTACATGAACATGATAAATTTCCTCCTCCAGGGGCTTTAGAATTCCAGAGGTCCTTTGACGTGGCCTTAAACAACGCGAAGCAACGGGTCCGAAATAAAAAAAAGCCTTATTGCAAAAAAACAATTAAATCACTGCTTGGGATTCAACATAAAAAAACAATATTTTTTTCCAATTTTGATTATTTTAAATATTTTTTATTTATACATTTGTTTTTTTTTAATATTATTTTTGACCACTGTTCCAGTATTGAAACATACTGTTTTATTTTTTTATTATTAAAAAATATAAATACAAATTTTTTTATTTACCCAATTTTCAAATATAATAATAATATTTGTTAATACTTTGGATTTGTCCAAATATTTACCAATATTTGGTCAATTTTTCAAAAGCCTAATTGCCCAAATAAACATCAAAAATTTGTCATCGTTTTTCCATGCCCAAACATTCCCAAAATTAAACCAACGGTAACCTACCTAATTTATCCAAACTGCTTTGGCATATTATTGGGCACAATTTGGTCATTTATTGTTGGCCATCGCGATTGCACAAATACCATAGGAATATACAGTCCTACATAGTACATTTATTGGCAAAACTTTTCCAAAGGTAATGGGCAATTCTTGGCCATGTTTTAACCTGATATGGCTCTCTCTCAATACTTTAGGATTATTTTATCATAACGAAGGAAATTTAAAAATTTCAAATACCAATTGGAAATTAATAGTTTATAAAGATATTTCACTTTTAAGAGACTCATATATTCAAAACAAATTAATTTTATCACACATTGATCAACTTATCAGTTCAAACCCACACATGTCATACTATAGTACGGAAATTAACTCACACATAAATATATTACGAAGAATATCCGACAATATTGAAACAAAATTCATAGAACTTGATAAAGATACAAATAACTATTATAGAAAGAAAAGAGGTTTAATTCACGGAATAGGATCAATATTTAAATCAATAACAGGAAATTTAGACGCAAGTGATGGTCAATACTTTGAAAACAGTATTCATAAATTAACTTCAAACGAACATGAAATTGAGAACTTACTTAAAGATCAAATTTCAGTTACAACATCTACGATTAAAAACTTTAATTACACTTTGCAAAAATTACAAGTAGACGAAAAAACATTTAATAATGATATTTTACAAATAGAAACTGTTATTTTTAATATAACGGATAGTCAAACCTTTTATGAAACAAAATTTAAATTTTTAGATACGTGTGAAAGATTACTTGAATCATTTATTTTAATAAACGAACATTAAGATAATCTTATCTTATCAGCATAACTTTCGCTAGAATTAAAATTCTACACCCATCAATAATCTCTCATACAAATCTTTTAAATGAATTAAAAAACATTTACAGCTATAACAAAAAAGGAAATTTACCATTTGACTTAAATTTTAACAATCTTGCATATTACTACGATATAATTCAATTAGAAGCTTTCAGAACACATTCAAAAATAATCTGTGTTATTCCCTTAGTCGATCAAATTAAATATAAATTGTTAAATTTATATTTAATACCCATACCTGATTCAAGAACAACCCTTTTTCATACAATCCTTACAAATTCCAAATATTTAGCAGTCTCTGATGATAATCGTTTTTACACGAGTGTTTACGATATTGACAAATGTAAGAATATAAACAGCCGAACAAAAATATTAATTTGCAAAAATATTGTAACATATCCAATCGATTCCAATGCAGCATGTGAAGCACAAATACTACAAAATCTCCAAATACTTCCAGTCAACTGTGAAATAAGAACATTCGACATAGAAGACTACAACGTACAATTAATAGAAGAAAATTCATGGTTAGTTGCAATTTCCAGAAAAATCCCCTTAACAATTACATGTGATGACACCACAACCAACTCCGCCTTTATAACAATAAACAGTATAATAAATATAAGTCCAAGATGCCAAGGTTACATTGGTTCCACAAGAATACTTCCAACCAACGATCAAACTTCTCTTCAATAATCCAAACTCCACTCATACCTTACAAATGTTGTGACAAGATACCCACAACAATAGAAAAATTCAAGCTCAATCCAATTAAAATTAACAAATTAAATCTCGATGAACTTAATTTGGCAGAACACAAATTAAACAAATACAGCGAACAATTAGATGACCTCATCAACGAAAACTTCATACAAAAATACACTCCATGGTTCACCTACCTCTCAATTCTACTCATCATATCTCTTATATGCCTCTACATATTTTGCAAATGCCGCAAAAAAAGAAGATTCATTCCCAAACTCCAGATTTCTCCAGGTGACTTTCCACAACCACCGCCAGATTCACAAACAATTAGAGAAACTGTAAGAAATATAGTTGAAAGACGACGTCCTCTACGAAATATTCGAAATCCAGATATTGAATTAGAAGAAATATCAATTCCAAATTTTAGCAAATCAATACCAGCCTAAATTGTTGCTATTCAATAACCAACAATTTTTATAAGGAGGGAGATGTTATATATTATTAAACAGTAGTTTCATATTAACAATATGCTACAATGTACTTATCATATCCAACGGAAATAATAAAACAATTAAAACCCACAACAAAAACGCAACTGCAGCTCCTAGAAACAAAGGGATCCTATGAACACCTGCAAGAAGATGATGCAATGGTCAGCCCCCAGCCCCACTCTTGATTTTCAATTTCAATATTATATTATATACTTTTAAACTCACTCTTCTCAAAACTCTCATATAAAACGTTTACTAAGTAAACTCCAATTTGTAAATTAAAATATTAAATTATATAAGTCGAGTCACGAAACAACTGTAACCCAAAAAGTGAAATAAATCAAATATTAATTAAAACTGTGTTTGTGTGTGAAAACAAAAAATAAACTTTTTTTAAAAACTAAATATTGGGATCCAAGACCCAACAGGCATATATGCTATAGCACAATGCCAAGAAAAAAAATCTATAGATTTTTTTCAAACACTATAGTGTTTGGAATTGTTTTTTACTTTACTTTTTACTTTTCGATATTCCTATATATTAGTTACTTTGTCCCTTTTAATTTTTTTTACGTAATATCTAGGATTTACTAGCAGTGAATTTCTAGTAGTAAACATTTTATTTTTATTTTGTAGGTTTCAGTATACAATAGGAATATTCCAAAGTAAAAGATAGGTACTATAGTACTATAAAAATAGTAAATAAAATTTGACAAAAAGTTAATGTGTTATATATTTTTGCAAATCCCTGGCATAAAAAAAATATTTTCGCAATACAAATTTTTTTTTTGAACTTTCGGAAAATTTCGGGAATTTTCGATGGAATGTTTCCGGGAATTTTCGTCAAATGGGAATTTTCCCATCTCTAATTAAAACCCATGTTTTGGTTTTTGTAGTCGAAAAAGAAAAATGCAGAAAGTAATAAGTTGCTCTTACTCTGAATAAATTACACGTGCACGTAAATGTAAATAAGTTCTACTATTTAATGCAATTGCAAGTGTCTCACAATAATAATAAACATTTTTCATGTAAAATTGTTATTGAACATTTTACCTATTTTTTATTTTTGGGAAAAATGTCATATTCGTTAGCAAACGATATTTTTATTGTATGAAAAGAATTTCTTAAAAAGCGTATTTGTTCCCGCTGAAATACCAAAATCTGTTTCAAATTGCATAATATTTTTAAAGTTGTACTTGTTTTTGCAATGTTGTAAGTTACAACTTGTAACTAGGGGTTTTGGTAAACTAACAAAAATAGTTTCATTGGTTGCTTGTAAATCAGGTATGCCATGACTTTTTAATTTATGCTGGGCAGAGAAATATTTCTTGACATATGTCAAAACTGAATAATATTCTGCGGTTTTAGTTCATCGTTTTTTGCTGTTTTTTTCTAGTACTAGTATAGAAAAAGAATATGCTAGGTATAAGAAGAGGCAAAGAAATTTATTTACATCGGTAAAAGCATAGAAATTAAATATAAATAGGTAAAAACACATATCAAAAATTATAGGTTATGAACAAGTAAACAAATGTCAAATGTTACCATGGTTATATAAATTAACTGTGACGTCATGACTTATTTAACCGTAGTATTACATAGTATTTACGCGAAAAAACGACTTATAGTAGCTGCTCGCCGCACGGTCCCTACGCGCTTCAACACTTATTTTTTTCGACTTATTCTTGGGATCCCATCTTCATATTACATAAAAATTTAGGGAATTGAAAAGCTTTCTTTGGATATTAATTTAAAAAAAAATCAAATGTGTCGCATTTCGAAAAAAAAACAAATATATTTTTAAAATCGGAGAAAACATCATTTTTAGGTGGGAACACTTGAGGTGTTTTGACCCGTATATAAAAAAAGACTTATTAATAAAAAACATATTTTATTTTATCAATGAATTTAGAGCCAATTTTTATTTGACGTGTGTAAAATTTTGTAAGTAACACCATTAAACTATCTATTTAACATAATCAAATGTGTCAAATTCCGAATAAAAAAGAACCAACTATGTGTTTGGATTTTTTAATTAAAAATCCAAAGCTTATGGGTATTGTAGGGGATATTTTTTCATAGTCAGTTTCTTATTTTGGAGCTTTAAAACAAATAAAATTTAACCAATTAATACATTCACTGTATTGCTAACCTTTTCTACATATGTGTCCTTATAATGGGGTAAACATTAATAAAACACATACTTTATTTTTAAAAACATGAATTTATTCATCAACCATTTCACAAACGATGAGTACTTGTTGAAACTCAGATATTAAGCGTAACAATGGGGATAATGTTCGCCCGTTGTCTGTATACCTCCCTAAATGTCATTCTCTGAGCAGTCTTATTGAAACACATCTTATTATTAACCCTGTTAGTTTAACTGTATGGTCCTAGAAGTGAGTAAAGTACATATATTTTTTACACTGAGATGGCTATTTTACATCTATTTTGAAATTTATTATTAAAACAAAACACAAAAAGTTTGTTAAGGATTTTGTTTGTTTATTTTGAATTTTGAAAAATTTGTATTGCTATTAATTGTTTGGTACAGCTAAGCACACATTTAAATTGCTTTTGATTTATATTTTGATGAATCAAGGCCCAGTCAATCAATTTAGTCTTGTTTTTGTTTTTAACTGGATATGATGTTCAGTTTCACTAGAATGAAACTGGTCCCTTGAAAGTCTTTGTGTATAATACTGTACCTATTTGCAATTATAGAAAACAGAGTAAGATAGTTGTAACATGTTCACTATTGGGTGTCAAGACTATTCCTAGTTTTCAATTCATCTATCACTTAAAAAAATTTAATGAGGTTTTGTTATGTTTAATTTATTTATTATGTCTCATTGAATTTTTTTATATATTATCAAGTATACCAAAAACTGAATAAATACCATTACTACATAATTTGTAGTTATTTTATTTAAAAACCCGTGCGCACTGCGCTATCAATTAGGTTTTATGTTTTGCTAATTACAACATAAAGGTATGTAAATTCTTGTTTTTGGTACTTAGAAATGTAAATCTCTGCAATAACTACTTCATAACATATACAGCACATTATAAAATGAATCACATTCAACAATTATTTTTAAGTAATGTTGCATAGGGCATGGTATACAAAAGAAAAATGACTTTAATAAAAGAAGACACATCAAGTATATAAAAACAATTGATTAGAACATTTGGAAAATTTAATTCAAAACATAAACATGTGTGATTTGTATATGTATTTTTTATGAGAATGGGCCACATACTATGAAATTTAAACATTTTAAACAAAATTATTTCTAATTATTTATTGCTTTATTTATTAATGTTTCTATTTAAAATAAAACTAAAAATATTCATTTTTATAATTCAGTGGACCAGCCACATGAAAATATAAATTATAACATAAATTAATGTACTTTCAAAATACTATTTTGACTAGTGGTCCATTCGATTGAGATATTGTTAATGTAGTGCTTATTTTGTATTTGTACAAACACATAAGAAAAGGCCTTGGGAACGTAACCATACTACGTGACCCATTTAGGGGGGAGGGGGGTTTAATACCACGCTTGGTCACAGGGATGGGAGGGGGGTTTAGGTTTAAAACTTGTAAAAAATGGGTCACGTAGTATGGGTACGTTCCCTTAATTAAAACCTAACTATAGGTTTTTTAACAGCACAGTTTAAATCATCTACAATCAGAAACAATTGCACAAAACATTGCTATAAAAATTATATTAACAAAAATGAATAAATAATAATTGTTACTAAAGGATAAAAAGAAAAACAAACTTCGCAACAAAATCATCAATAAATAACGTTGTTTATATTTAATTTTCCTATATATATTTATATATAGAGAAAGTAAACTAGGTACCTATTATAATAATCACACATACACTGCGTACTTTTAACGTAAAAATTCTAACAATGGTGACAACTAGAACATCTATGATTATTTGGCTTCCTTTATGATTATAAATAATGAGCTAACTAATGAAATTTGATGTCAGTCAGTGAGTGTTGGTTGGTCCTTATTGCACATTGGACGGTGTTGTCCATAGCCCTAAAGGCAAAAGAGGCAACCGTCAAAACACTAAAAAGAAACACAACTATTAACAAAATAAAGAGTTCATACAAATAATTAGGTACCTTTTTATAGAAAAATACATAAAATGTTATAATTTTAAATAATAACAAATAAGCACGGTTGTTAATTTTATTTGGGATAAGAATAGTTTAAACTAGTGATGGGTCGTGATTTTGATAACGTGATTTTGGAACGTTATTTTCAAATCACGTTCCGGAACGTTCCTAAATATATCGGCGCAGTTACCTCGTTTCGTTTCTTGTTCGACTTTCGCGGCGCGCCGACTTGAGCTGAACTTTATCGGTGCATATAACCAATATAAAACGTTCCGCTGGAACGGTGCATAAAAAATTAAGTTTGTTAGGAAGGGTAGATGGAATCCAATATACCAAATATTGTACAATTATTAAACTATAATACCAAAAGTTACTAAGAAGGTTTTCTTACTAGAGAATCTATATTAGAGATAGACAAAACAAAAAATATTTTGCTCAATATTTCTGCACAAAAAATTGATTATTGTCCCAAGCAATCAGACAATATAAATAAATTAGGCAATATTGTCAACACACTGTTAACTAAATTGCTTAATACAAAATATTGTACCCCTTAAATCTTAGTGTATGGCAAAAGTTACAATATTTAATTTTGGTATTAAATTTGTTATGGTGCGGTCAACAGAACTAAGAGGCGCGCCAGACAACGTCGTGTCGTGGATTCCACTCGCATGTATTGTAAAATCAATTATCCTACGTTCCGAAATCACGTGATTTTGGTACGTGATTTTTTAGTAACGAAACAGTTTGGTACTGAAATGGTTGGACTCCCCTAACGCCTGAAAGTATAAAACCCGTAATACAATTTTAAATTTTAAAATAATATTTTATTCCGTTTTGTAAATAAGTCAACTAAGGAAAGTTTTGCTACAGAAATAGAGCATCTGTTGATGTTAAAAACTGATAAACAACCACTTAAGATATTTTGGAATGCAAAAGGGATCCTCCCAAGTTCAATATTCAGGGGGTGTCCGCATGGTATATGCAAAATTAAATTAGTTAAATTATATAAATAATAAATCGGTAACTTATACGACAATGCTATGACTTTGTACTACGAGTACACCCCGTATTCTGTTTTGCAAGGAGGTATACCTCTCTACAGGACGTCCTTAATTTTGTCAGATAATATTGAACCAATTTATTGTATATATTAAAATGTGTTAATTAAATAGTTAGTTAGTTAAATAATGTGAACTTGTTTAGTATTAAGTTAGTAATAGTTTTAATTGTTATGTTCAATACAATTGTTGTAATTTAGTTTTAAGTTTTCAGTACCTAATCTTATTATCGGCCTAAAAAACCGAATAGTTAAACTTAAATTTGTGTATATTGTTTTCTAAAGTGGTACCGAAGTCGGTACCTATTCTAATTGTTAAAATATTTTATTGTAAAAACCAATATTTCGGAAAAACCCAATCAACCAGAACAAAATTTGACTCTAAGGGCACACTTAAAATTATAATTATTTGACTGGGCTACTCGACTACAAAAATATCTATCCCAAATGTTTTGCCCAATGTTAAAACACTATTTTATCTTAATTTTGCCATGTCACACATATGGTTTACTTTTTCCAACTTTGGGGAAAGACAAAGAACGATAGGTATATGAGAGGGGGTTGATCCAAAGTTGCGTAAACAGATTTAGGCAGTCAGTTTCCAGTTCTAGCTGAGTGCGGACGTTTTTCCAAAACCTCCTGTTCTCTAAGTCAAACTTGTGTGTAACGCCAGTTGTAGCCATCTTGGTTATTTGAATCCGACGCCGCGACATCGCGCCCTCCATCGGACGGACGCTTCAAGGGGGTTGATCCAAAGTTGCGTAAACAGATTTAGGCAGTCAGTTTCCAGTTCTAGCTGAGTGCGGACGTTTTTCCAAAACCTCCTGTTCTCTAAGTCAAACTTGTGTGTAACGCCAGTTGTAGCCATCTTGGTTATTTGAATCCGACGCCGCGACATCGCGCCCTCCATCGGACGGACGCTTCAACTTTGTTTTAATTTTCCCGCCGCGTGTATGTGCTGCCACCTGCTGGACAGTCAATTAATTGCAGTGACATTTAATTTCAAAGTCTATCGCTTTCCCACCTATTCAAGGTGGGGGTAAGAGACGACCCTTTTTGTGAATGTGGGGAATATGGGGACTTAGACCACATATTTCTGGAATGCCCAATTAACGGGGGGGGGGAAAACCCAGATCTCTACTGGCAGCTGCACAAAGCGGGAATTGAAAGGCCCTTTAATATGGCCACAGTCTTACAAAAGACCAATAAAGTAACCATCGACATAATTTTAAGATTTATAAACTTAAATAAAATCGCGATATAGTTTGCAGCGGAAGGCATTAATGATAAAAATAAAAAATAATAATAAATAAAATAAAAATAGAAAAACAAAAATACAATTAAAAAAAAAAAATAATAATAACAAATATCAACACATTACGATCGATCTAATAGAATGGAGCGGCAATAGGATCTCCTAGACTCGCCCCTCCCCAGCTACAGACAAAGGCGTCAGCTGGCCAAATCCCGGAAGGGAAAAGCCAAAAAGAATAAAGAAGAAGAAGAAAGTCTATCGCTGTGAGTGCTGACACCTGTCAGCAGTTGTGTAGTAATAGTAAACAATTAGTTTATTAAGTTTATTATTAATTATTTGAGGATCGTAATCAACGAGTAGACCCGAAATTACAGGTATGCCAAAACATGTTATCATTGTAATCGTTTTTCCAACGTAAAGAGAGCAAGAGCCATTTCATAAATAATTTCATAAATAAATTAATGAATTGGGGATATCTACCTGCCAGTCAATTAAATCAGGTGACAACACTCTAGTACTACTGATGTTAAACTATTCCATGTTCCACCAAATAAATACCACATCAGGCATATATTGACGGTATGATCTGCAACGGAAGTCAATATAACAATTTCTTAAAAGTATATAGACACCTTGCATTATTAATTGCTTGCATGGACTAAACGCTTGTTGTAAGGCTGTCAATAAACTGCTTAATCTCGTTCAACCTGGGAGTGCGATAATATTAAATTGACAATACATCCTGTACCTTCCGATATCCTGTAGGATCAGCGGAAAAGGCTAGACCCAACGATGGAACACCAACATTGAAACGATTCCCACCGAAAAGCTATAGGCAACCACATAAAAGAGCCAATAAAGGCAGTCCTTCCCAATAACCTCATAAATATTAACACACTCCCGCAGAGACTAGTGTTTAATGTGAACTGATGAAAAGGTACTAATAAACACATACCTACTTCAACATAACAAAAATAAAAAAATAAATAAACAGAGGCAACTCTTGATCGTAACGATCGTCAACAATATAAAAAAGTAAAAGAGGCCCAGACCCACTGTAAATCGAGAAACGAATTACACCCTTTCATGGATTTGATTTTATAATAAAAAAAGGTTTTACCATCATCCTTCCCTTAAAGCAGGGTGTACCTGTCACCTGACTTTATGACTGACGGCAAGCTTCTTGTAATCCTTCGTCTCGGGCGCCAGGTCAACGACCTTGGCAGTTTACTGTTAAAAAGGGCATAAATCGAAATATTGGTTTCGGCATTGGCTTTTGTCATCTTTAATGTAAATAAATAATATGGTTATAAATATTTGTTTGATTGTTTGTCACTATTCCTACTTTATTACGACGAATCTGGGCTAGACGCATTCTTGGCTAAATTAAAGGTAAATATGAGCCTTTAAGGCAAGTATAGGTAGATTTTAAGGAGTAAATTATTTAAACACAACGTAGACCGGGTCCTTTCCATTACAGTACGTTCCGGATTGGGAACCGTTTTTTCCATCACTATAGTTTAAACCAGTGGCGGCTGGTGGATTTTTGGTATACCAATATTTCAGTTATTAGACATGGGACCCACACCAAATTTATAATAGTTTATAATGACATTAAATAGACAAGTTCGGCGCAAACAGAATATAAATTGAAGTTTGCGAAAAAAAGTTAGTTTTTCCTGTCGCCTCACCCGCCTCCAGGCCCCCTATTTGAGATAATTTATCGACAAATTTAAAATTTTATTTAAAAAATCCAAATATTATATTACAGGTTTTATACCATTTTAAATATTTTTTTTATTTTAATAAAATTAATAATAAAAATTTAAAATCGAATAAAATCTGTAATATTTGGATTTTTGAAATAAAATTTTAAATTTGTCGATAAATTATAGTAGATAATAAATTGCACTACTTTAATTTGAATTATCTCAAATAGGGGGGCCTGGAGGCGGGTGAGGCGACAGGAAAAATTAACTTTTTTTCGCAAACTTCAATTTAAATTCTGTTTGCGCCGAACTTGTTTATTTAATGTCATTATAAACTATTATAAATTTGGTGTGGGTCCCATGTCTAATAACTGAGATATTGGTATACATAAAATCCACCAGCCGCCACTGGTTTAAACTGGTGATGAGAAAAATATTGCTAATGGTGATTTAAGAGCTGTTTGCAGTGGTGCCACTTGTAACATTATCGAATTGTAACATAAATTTTTCTAAAATCAAAGTATCCAAGTATAAAATCCAAGTATCTGGACAAAATTAACTTAATTCTATCCAGATTAATTAATTTAATTAAGATATCTAATAATTAAACATGAAGTCTGATTTATAGATTGCCTTCCTTCCTTCTTCCCTCCCGTAAAAGATCAACAATACCGTGGTGCTGTTTATAGATTCCCGTACGGTATTTTTAGGTCTAAAGGTAACGGTAGAGGCAATCTGCGTCTAACGGTAACGGGTTCGATTCCCGGTCACAGCCTTGGGTGTTGTAGTTGTTTATTAAAACAAAAATAAATATCATGAGCTGGCTAAATAGTCTTAAAAAGACTAAAAGTCAATAAATCTAAAAAAAGGGGCAAGAACGTAGCGGCAAGAGATGACCATCTTTCATCTTGTCTTACCTCAACCGC